TGGAAACGTGCCGCAGGCTCATCAAGGGCTCAGCCGACAGGTACCACCCTCCTGCTGCTCCAGGAGACCTTCCCTGGCTCTGCAGCACATAAAAAAATCACAGCAACCAAAGTTTTGTTTTCTTAGGAGGCAAAAATTGCTTGATTTTGGGGTTTTCAGCCTTTTTTTTGAGGTTTTTTACAAGGAGAAACACCCATCCCATTGGTGGGACAAGATAAAAACGCTCTGAGAACATCTCTGTGATTGTTTTGAGAATTAAAATCTTATTTACACAACAGTCCTTGAGAGAGAAAAGCTTCTCAAAAGAGTTTTCCTTGGGAAAGAGAGCCTGGAGCTCTGTCAGGCTCAGAAAATCACATTTCCTGCACCCCACAGACTCTCCAAACTCCATCTCAAATGAGAGCAGGTTTTATTCTTCCAGATTTTCTTCTGTTAGAAAGTTCTGAGAAGGTCTGGAAAGGTAAAAATCATCGGTCACGAAACCAACACAACACCCTCACTGTTGGGTTTTAAATAAATAGAAATTTATTTATAAATGAGAAATATATTTAAAAAAAAAAATAAAATAGGAGAGCTGAAAATGAAAGCCTGGGCTAAAGGCAGAACTTCATGGCTTTGTCTTTTGGAGAATTTTGTGTCCCAGGATCAGCTTTGAAAAGGAATTCTGCACTTTTTGAAGAGCTCCTCAGCACAGGCAGCTCCAGCTCGGGTGGACTTTCAGTCTTCAAAATCTCAGATTTACAACTCTTAAAACCCCAAATTAAATCTCAACTCCGGACTTACACCAAGAACTCGTTCTTTAATCTTCTCATGTGTTAAGAACCTTACACTCTGAAGGATTTATCTCTCGTTCAACCCCAGTAGAACAAGATGATAAACTTTTAATTTTCAGTGCTCTGGGCATTAAGGATGCTGAGAGTTTTTGCCCCTCATTTATTTCCCCATCATGGGGCAGCCTCTGTGTCTGTCACCTTGATTTTACCACTGATATTTACCCTAAACCTAAAATTTAATGTTATTAAAGAAGTTTTTAAATAGCTTGGGGGAACTCCATGTTTAATGTTTAAGAATTAATGTTAATAAAGAGGTTTTTAAGTGTTGGGAAGGGAAAGTGACTATTTTAAGGGTTTTTTTTTAAATTCTGTGATTGATATTTAATTTTCTGGTTGCACTTTTTTATTTTGATATTTAATTTTCTGGCTGCACTTTTTTATTTTAATATTTAATTTTCTGGTTGCATTTTTTCCCTTGATATTTAATTTTCTGGCTGTACTTTTTAATTTTGATATTTAATTTTCTGGTTGCATTTTTTTATTTTGATATTTAATTTTCTGGCTGCACTTTTTTATTTTGATATTTAATTTTCTGGCTGCACTTTTTTTATTTTGATATTTAATTTTCTGGCTGCACTTTTTCCCTGCAGGAATTCTCCATCCCCCAGCTCCGTAGCCAGCAGCGACTCAGGAAACACAGACGAAATTCAGGACGATTTGGACAGAGAGACGGACGTGGAGCCCATGGTCAGCTGATAGGAAATGGGAAGAATTCCAGAAAAAAAAAAAAAAGAAAGAAAGAAAGATTCCAAACCAATTGCTGGGGGAAAGGTGAAAAGACTGGAGAGCCCCTGCAGAGGGACTCTGATTCCTACACACATCCCCTCCCTCCCAAGGATTGGTGCTGTACATTTCTATTCTTCAAACCATAAATGCAGAGTTCTGTAGGAAAACACGGTGTTTTAATTGTGCCTTTGCCCCAAGCTGAGCCACTTTGAGCTCCAGTGGAATATTAATAACAGGTGTTTTTATATAAAAAAAAAAAAATTAAAATATATATTATTTAAAATAAAAACCAAACAACCAAAGCTGGTTTTGGCAGCAGAGGATGGTGCTGGAGAAGCTCTGGGTACTTCAATAAGTTGCTGGTTTTTATTGAACTGCTGAACTGATTGGCAAAAGCAACACTGGGGAAAAAAAAAAGAGGTAATTGTGGTGTAATTAAGAATGTCTGGCAGAAAAAAAATAAAAAATTAAAGGAAAATAAAAATGAAAAGGAAAGGGAAAATGAAAAGTAAAAGGAAAAGGTAAAGATAAAGAGATAAAGAAAAAAAGAAAAAGAAAAATGAAGAGGAAAAGGAAAAGAAAAAGATATAAAGATAAAGATAAAGAGATAAAGAGATAAAGATAAAGAAAAAAAGAAAAAAGAAGAGGAAAAGAAAAAGGAAAGGAAAAGAGATAAAGAGATAAAGATAAAGAGATAAAGATAAAGATAAAGATAAAGATAAAGATAAAGATAAAGATAAAGATAAAGATAAAGATAAAGATAAAGATAAAGAGATAAAGAAAAAAGAAAAAGAAAAATGAAGATGAAAGGGAAAAAAAATGAAAAAGAAAAGATAAAGAGATGAAGATAAAGAAAAAAGAAAAAGAAAAAGGAAGAGAAAAAGAAAAAGAAAAAGAAAAAGAAAAAGAAAAAGAAAAAGAAAAAGAAAAAGAAAAAGAAAAACAGAAAGAGAAAAAGAATTGTTTCCAAATGGAACTGCAAACGTTTAAAATTGAGTTTGGAGACATCTGGTAGGGCGAAGCAGTTCTAGAAAATTCACAGGGTTTTTCTCCACCTGACTTTTCTGGGGTGAGGGAACCTTTGGGATGTGTCCAAGGTTTCTGCTGGACTCCAGGAGCTGGAGGAGCAGGACTCAGCTCGGTGGCAAAGCCAGGAGGGGCACAGGAGGGGTCACCGCTGGTGGTGGGGGGAATATCACTGAGTAACTACTATGCAAAAACATAAAAAACAAACAAAACAAACAACAACAAAAAAAAAGCTCGCCTTATTTCTATGGAATGTTTTATCCCCTGGGAAAAGGAAAATTTGCACTCTTGGATGTCTGTGGAGCTCCTTTGGAGGTGGAATTTCTGGATCACAACGCTTTTGTTCCCAGTGATTGGATTAGGATTGGAATCAGCCCTTCAGCTCCTTGGTGGTTGGTGTCTTTTATTTTTTATTCAGGGTTTTCTTGTGTTGTTTTATTTTATTTTGAGCAGTTTGCAGATTTTTCCTTTGCTGACAGGGAGATAACTCCGTTTTCTGCTGATGTGTGGAGCGAGGAGCAGGTGAAGCAGCAGGATGAAGTGACCCAGATGTAGGAACCAGGATTTGGGAGAGCTCCAGAACACTGGGAAAAGCTGAAAAATCCCTTTTAGGGCACAGAAAACCAAACCCCAAACCTCCCCTAGAGCTGGGCAGGAACTTTCTCTGTGAGAAAAGCAGCAAGACCTTGGCTTTACCCATTTTTCTGTATTTTTTAGCCAGGAGAATCAGCATCAAAATCAGATCAGGCTGGAGGAAACTCCAGCACCACCGAGTTAGGATGGGAATTGTTGGAGGAAACTGTTAATTCCCGAGTTAGGATGGGAATTGTTGGAGGAAATTGTTAATTCCCGAGTTAAAATGGGAATTGTAGCACCTCAGCCAGGTAAAAACAGGGTAATAAACCTCAGCCAATAATTTTTTTGTTTGTTTTTAGGCCAAGATTGAGGGTGTAGTTTGATGCCCAAAGGCAGATGTGGGGTTGGAACTCAGTAAATACCAAATGTGTTTTGTTTAGCCTGCCAGGGAGTTTGGGAAGTGAGGGAAAGGCAGGGAAAAATCCCAATTTCAGCACCCTCTCAGCGTTATGGAAAAGCAAAATGAGCTTCCCAAGTGGTGTTCCCAACTTCTGGAGCATTGATCACACAGAGCACAGGTGTGTTGGAAAATAACTCATTCCTGGCTGGAAACTCCTCTGGAGTTCCACTCTGGAACTGGGGGGTTCCTGCTGGAACACAGGAATTCTCCGTTCCCGGGAATCCTTCATTCCCAGGAATCCTTCCTTCATGGGAATCCTTCATTCCCAGGAATCCTTCATTTCCATGAATCCTCCCTTCCCAGGAATCTTTCCTTCCCAGGAATCCTTCCTTCATGGGAATCCTTCCTTCCCGGGAATCCTTCCTTCCCGGGAATCCTTCCTTCATGGGAATCCTTCATTCCCAGGAATCCTCCATTCCCGGGAATCCTTCCTTCATGGGAATCCTTCCTTCATGGGAATCCTTCATTCCCGGGAATCCTTCATTCCCGGGTATCCTTCATTCCCAGGAATCCTTCGTTCATGGGAATCTTTCCTTCCCAGGAATCCTTCATTTCCATGAATCCTCCCTTCCCAGGAATCCTTCCTTCCCAGGAATCCTTCCTTCCCGGGAATTCTTCCTTCATGGGAATCCTTCCTTCATGGGAATCCTTCATTCCCAGGAATCCTTCCTTCATGGGAATCTTTCCTTCATGGGAATCCTTCCTTCCAAGGAATCCTTCATTCCCAGGAATCCTTCCTTCCCGGGAATTCTTCCTTCCAAGGAATCCTTCCTTCATGGGAATCCTTCCTTCATGGGAATCCTTCATTCCCAGGAATCCTCCATTCCCAGGAATCCTTCCTTCACGTGAATCCTTCCTTCCCAGGAATCCTTCCTTCCTGGGAATCCTTCCTTCATGGGAATCTTTCCTTCCCAGGAATCCTTCATTTCCATGAATCCTCCCTTTCCAGGAATCTTTCCTTCCCATGAATCCTTCCTTCCCATGAATCTTTCCTTCCCAGGAATCCTTCATTCCCATGAATCTTTCCTTCCTTCCCATGAATCCTCCTTTCCCCTGCTGTGTTGCTGGCAGCTCCATCTCCCACCTGGCAGCAGCTTAGAGCCCAGGGGGCTCTGAGGATCTCCCGGCCTTTTCCAGCCCGGGAAGCAGGCAGATCCATGAGGATCCACAGATCCTCATTTTCTCCATGGATCCACGGATATTCCCGTGCTGAGGGGCTCCAAAGCCTGCTGTGTCCTGGAAATGTCGATGACTTTTTTCCTCTGGAAGAGAAACCTCATTCCAAAAGCGCTCATTCCTGTTATTCCTTAGGTGGCCAAAGCGGTAAATGTGATCTTCACGAGGGGCTGGGTTTGGGAGGGGGGATTGGGGGGATTTTTTGGGGCTGCATGTTTGAAATCTGCAATCTGAAGGGTTTGGGAGGCTTTGGAAGGGTCTGGAAGGGTCTGGAAGGGTCTGGAAGGGTTTGGAAGGGTCTGGAAGGGTTTGGAAGGGTTTGGAAGGGTCTGGAAGGGTCTGGAAGGGTCTGGAAGGGTTTGGAAGGGTTTGGAAGGGTCTGGAAGGGTCTGGAAGGGTTTGGAAGTTCAGCTGCTCCCGAGGCTGAGGAAGTTTCTGCCCAGGCTGAGCTCTGTGATCCCGCAGTGCCTGGGGCAGGCATTGCTCAGCACGGAATCGGCTCCTGGAGCCTGTCCCTGCTCCTCTTCCCCCTGGGAATGTTCCTGGAGCCTGGTCCTGCTTCTCTTCCTCCTGGGAATGTTCCTGGAGCCTGTCCCTGCTCCTCTTCCCCCTGGGAATGTTCCTGGAGCCTGGTCCTGCTTCCTCTTCCCCCTGGGAATGTTCCTGGAGCCTGTCCCTGCTCCCCTTCCCCCTGGGAATGTTCCTGGAGCCTGGTCCTGCTCCTCTTCCCCCATGGAATGTTCCTGGAGCCTGGTCCTGCTCCTCTCCCTCCCCCTGGGAATGTTCCTGGAGCCTGTCCCTGCTCCTCTTCCCCCTGGGGATGTTCCTGGAGCCTGTCCCTGCTCCCCTTCCCCCTGGCAATGTTCCTGGAGCCTGGTCCTGCTTCTCTTCCCCCTGGGAATGTTCCTGGAGCCTGTCCCTGCTCCCCTTCCTCCTGGGAATGTTCCTGGAGCCTCTCCCTGCTCCTCTTCCCCCTGGGAATGTTCCTGGAGCTCCAGGAATGCTCCTGGAGCCTGGTCCTGCTCCTCTCATCCCGGGAATGTTCCTGGAGCCTGGAATGCCTGCTCCTCTTCCCCCTGGGAATGTTCCTGGAGCCTGTCCCTGGCTCTCTTCCCCCTGGGAATGTTCCTGGTTTGTTCTTTTTCCTTAAAACTCAGCATCCCAGTAGGAAAAAGGCCGAGTGTTCCCAAACCCAGGAGCTGGAGCTGTTGTGCTGAGGACAGGGAATTCCCAGAGCAGGAATTCAGGATAATGTGAGGAGGAACTCCTGCAGGTGAGGACAGGGAATTCCCAGAACAGGAATTCTGTGTAGGATAAAGGAGGACAGGGAATTCCCAGAGCAGGAATTCTGTGTAGGATAAAGGAGGACAGGGAATTCCCAGAGCAGGAATTCTGTGTAGGATAAAGGAGGACAGGGAATTCCTGGAGCAGGAATCTTGTGACTTTGACAGATCAAAGCTTGCCAGAGAGAGAAAAAACAACAAAAAAATAAGAATTTAATTGTAAAAATGCTGGAAATGATTTTGATGACCTCTTTCTTTTTTTTCCCTTTGTAAAGCTGTAAATACTTTATTTTTTTGTTTTCTATTCTTAATGGGGTGTCATATTGACACGTTTTTAGATTTACAATCAGGAAAAATCCTCCTCATCCTTTCTCATTTTTTTAAAAAGGGGGGGATTTCAAGGAAGCAAATTTTTTTGCTCGTTAGCGGTGTAATTAACAGATCAAATTCCTAAACTGGGTTTGTACAAAAAAAAAAACAACAACGTTTTCACTAAACAAAATGACAGTTTGTGGATGCATGTCCTTCAAAAATATCCAAAGAATAACGTGGTACAGATGTTTTAAAGAATAACGTGGTACAAACTGGTTTTTCAAAGACGTAGCGACGATCGTCTTAGTTCACACAAGGGAAAAAAAAAAAAAATCAAAATTCTTTTAAAACAAAAAAAGTTTGGGGAGGGGAGAAACGTAATGAAACTCATCTAAGCTAAAGGTGTAATCTATTTATAAAAACACAGTGTATATTCTATTTTTATTAGAAGTTTTTAAAGTGCAAACAGATCTCTGTTGGCAGATGCAGTCGTTCCCTTGTAAATTCTCTCCTGCTGGGATGGGATCCCCCAAATTCTCTGATGTTTCCAAGGCTCAGGGTGGAAATAATCGGGAGAGGTTTGGCTGTGGAGCACTCACAGGTCGCTTCCTCCAGGCCAGGCTGCAGCTCCAGCAGCTTTTCTGCCTCTGCTGTGATTTAATTCCCCTAATTTAATAAGTAATTACTCAAATTATTGAAAAAAAAAATCGAAAAAATAATTCTTTTTATTTAATTCCCCTTTCCTGTGGATTTATTCCATTCCCCTGCCTGGGAGGAAAAGGTCAGGACCTCCTGAATCCTCCTGAATTGTGGCAGTGCAGCAACACAGGGGTTAAATTAAATATAAATGACATTTATACCTGCAGAGATCGGGATTAACACCACGAAACAAAGCCTGAATATGCACCCAAAGCTGCTTCTAAATTCAGATTATTTGAGTTTTCTTTTCCCCTGATCATTCCTGGCAGGAAAAGCAGGAGCTGAGGAAAAGCTGGAGCGGCCGTGGGTGCTCCCAGAGCTGCTCCCGGTGTTTCCCTTGGCTCTGGGAACACCAGGGAATGTTTGTGTTGGAAGAGTTTTCACTTCTGGAGTGCTTCATTTTAGAGCTGAGCCTTTAAAGGAATGATTTATTAAATGAATAATTCATGTTAAATTGTTAAATGAAGAGATTCCGCTTCCTCCACCAGGCAGGAACGTCCCAGGGAGGATTTCCCACCTTTAAAATCAGGAATTTTGGGGTTTTAAAACTCTTTTTGGCTGCCAACACCAAAAGCAAAAAAAATAAATAAAAAATCCAAAAACAAACAAAGTTTGAGGCTTCAACCTGGGAATTTCTCCTGCTGGGAATTAGAGAGGGGAGTTGAGCACTGCCAAATTCCCGCTGGGAATGGGATGGGAATGGGAACACTCAGGGTTTGGCCAGACCCTGAAGGAAAATCTGACCCTTCCCTGCTGTTTTCCTGCCAGTTCAGCCAGCTTTTCAAAGCTTTTCTTTGGAAGGAGCAGCAAAAATTGTGTTTTAGTGTGGCTGTTTGATTGCAGAAATCACAATTTCCCCCTAATTTGAGGCACTCCACAGTGAAGCACTCGGGGAAGGGGGTGTTTGTGGGTCTGGCCAGCTCCCTGTTTATGTTTTTTTGGGGGGGGAAATCACGGTGTTAATGGTTAAAACAAACCCTTGGGGTGGTTTCAAACCGTGGCAGAGCACGGTGCCACAAACCCAGATTTCCACCCCCCCAAAAAAAACCCCAAATTTCTGTTTTATTGAAGATTGAGGGCGGCTCTCACACTCCTTTGTGTAACACCAAAAAAAAAACCTCAACACCCCAGCCCCTAAAAACGCCTTCCCCTGGTTAAATGCAACGACCTTCTGCCAAAACCGATTATTTATAATTTAAATATTAAATAATATTTAATATTTAAATATTAAATAATATTTAATATCGTCTTGGAGTGGAGGGAATCGATGCCTCGTCCCTCCCGCTGTGTCACTTCTTGTTGTTGTTTCCTCTTGAGGTTTCTTTTATCCCCAAGGAGCTGCTGATGGTGTGGGAAACGCTCCTGGTTACCCTGTAAATATTGTGCTTTATATTCTGTATATTAGCTCATTTTAATGACAAAGACTGGACTGATGCTGGTGGGGAAAGGCCGGAGGATGAGCCGGGATGGGGCTGGAATTCTGCGCTGGGAAGGGAAAGCTCCAGTGGATTTGGGACCGTGAAATGCTTGGAGAGTCCAGGCCAGGAGGAGCCCCGAGAACTCCCCAGGACCTCCCGCCCTCCGCCGAGGATTTGCTGCGTTTCCCTTTTTTTAGTGCCAAAACCGACCCCATCGCCCCCTCCCGGGTCTGCAGGTGGCTCCGTGTCCAGATGTGGTGTCCAGATGTGGTGTCCAGCTGTGTCCTGCTGTGTCCAGCCGTGTCCAGCTGTGTCCAACCAGTGTACAGCTGTGGTGTCCAGCTGTGTCCTGCTGTGTCCAGCCACGTCCTGCTGTGTCCAGCCACGTCCAGCTGTGTCCAGCCGCGTCCAGCTGTGGTGTCCAGCTGTGTCCAACCAGTGTCCAGCCATGTCCAGCTGTGTCCAGCTGTGGTGTCCAGCCATGTCCAGCTGTGTCCAGCCACATCCAGCTGTGTCCAGCTGTGTCCAGCTGCATCCAGCCAGTGTCCAGCTGTGTCCAGCCACATCCAGACAGTGTCCAGCTGTGTCCAGCCACATCCAGCTGTGTCCAGCTGTGTCCAGCTGCATCCAGCCAGTGTCCAGCCATGTCCAGCTGTGGTGTCCAGCCATGTCCAGCTGTGTCCAGCCACATCCAGCTGTGTCCAGCCAGTGTCCAGCCGTGTCCAGCTGTGTCCATCCCTCCGTCCTGCCCAGGCCAGCGCTCAGCCCCAGACCCCAGGGGTGGGAGCTGTCCATCAA